AATGAATTTTTGATAAAAATTAGCAAAACCTAAAAAACCTTGGAGAATCTTAACACTCGTAGGTTGTGGCCAATCCAGCACTTTTTGGCATTTAGCCAGATCCATGGTTATACCGTTGGAAGCAACGATAAGACCCAAAAATTGAAGAGAAGAGTTATGAAACTTGCATTTCGAGAGTTTGGTGTACCAACTGTTTTCTCAAAGACATTTAAGCACTTCTCAAATGTGCTGAACATGATTGTAAAAGTTTTTTGAATAAACGTGGATATCAACAAGATATACCACAACATAAACTTCTACAAGAAATTTTAGTTGAGACAAAGACAAACAGAAAGACAAGAGAAAGAAAAGGAGAAATACCTAAAGGATCAAGATGACTCTAAATCAGACAAAGGGAAACAGGAGAGATGAAAAGCAAAACAAACAAAAACACTTCCACCACACACACTCTCAGAAGCAAACATTACAGAAACATCATCAGTGAAGTGAACGCAAAGACCCAGAGTGTCACGTGTCGAACTTCTTGGCTCAGCTTGGAACCAAATGCTGCTCAAAAGCACGCGCTATTCGACTGTGAGACACTCAACCAATGAAAGCTTGACATTTGTAAATTTGGATGCAAACCTGCTTTTCGAACTTCGACTTTCACATGAAGGAACTTCAAAGTTTACTTAGCCAAAACCAGCTCAGTAACTCCTTCCTTTTCCGGCTAGTGTGGTCATAACTCGTTTGGTCTGTGCTCAGCAATTAGCCTTTGACGCAATCCCAATCCATCAAAGTACCTTCAATCTCAACCAGCAATAATCCCTCATGATCTTTGAATCAAATCCTTGGATATTCGGATGGATAAATCAATTGCTTAGCTGGCCTGCTTTGAAGCACACTCCATCCTTGCCTTTACTTTCATCTATCATTCCTCCTGTGCTTTGACCCTCTTCTCAGCCTCAGCCTCATATTTGAGCTTGTACACTAATTTCTGTATATATAAGCTCTTGTACTTTCCTCATTCTTTTCCCTTTTTCCTCAGTTAATTAATATTGTGGATTTCGCACCTTATCCTTGCCAATAGTCATTGCCCTGTTGGTTACCTTCCTTGAACCTAAGTTATACATCTTTGAGCCATCTCTTTCGAAACTTGAGTCAGTTATCTTTGAAACAGATCTAAGTTATCTTGCCCCTCATCTTCGGACCTCTCCTTGTGCGCTTCATCCAGCTAAACCCCCCTCTAGTACGTTGGGTTGGTCGTATGACAATAAGATCAAGCCATACTTTGACAAATTAACAAATCAGGCACATACTTTGTAGCCTAGCTGGTAAAGGCAGCACTTCCATTATAGTGTCTTAGCTTCAAGCTAAGTTTTCTGGTTCAAATCCTGCCCAATTTAATCTTTCTTGATAAATGTCTGAAAAATGCATTGTTAACTTTCATCAAAATAAATAGGAGTGCTAGCCAATGTCCATTGGAAAAGGAGAATGAAAAGGTAGAATGAACTGAACATCAGCAAGAAGTAAGACAATTTTCTGAGTTAAAAAAGAAGAGAAACAGCTGCTTGAGTTGAAGAAAATGCTGAACGTAAGCGGTCAACAAAAGAACTTCTTGATGTAGAAACCAACATCAGGAAGCAGATCAAGAAAGCCAGAAGCTTATTGCCTTGCAAGCATTCAAAGATGGGCCAGCTGCTAGGAAGAGATCAGAAGCATATCCATCACTGTGTTAAATTTTCTTTTCTTTTCAAAAAGAAATAGAAAAACATGATGAGATCTTGAAAAATAGATTCATGGAAATCAAACCAAATCTCCTGAGTCCATGAGCACATCTGCAGTGTTGGCCTTGTCATCCCAGCTAGATTTGAAAATAGTAATTGCCAGTGGGAATTGTGAGATAAAGCCTTTTCCCTCAAAACCGTTGGAGGGCCTTTATTTCCAGCTTCATAATACTGGTTATTTCTTTATTTTCATAATTTTGTTCAAGTGAGATGCAGCATGCTTCAAAAATTCAATTTGTGACATTCATCCTGAGCAAGGAATTGATTGATTGGACAGATATGTATATTTTCTTTACTGACAAATATCTGCCACATCAAATGTGTTTTTAATTGATTTTACCAGCTTTTGAAGTTAAGAAGCTGTAGGGCTTTTCAGCTAGTGAGAGGTTCACAGTATTGAGGTATTTCAACAACACAACATATGAATTTTGAGAAAAAAGAAAAACTCTCAAATGGTTAGAATTGGTGCCAATCCCATTGTGATTTTAGAAATATTTTATCCAGTAGTTTTGAAGCTCCAGATAAAACTCCTTGGAAAAAAATTGATTTGGTGGTCCACTTGTTTGAATGATAATGTAACACTTTAATGCGTTGCAGAGAGTTTGTGGTAGGAATTTTGTGATGAGTAGAATCATTCAGGGGAGGTGCTTTGAATAGTGATTTAAAATTTATATCCCTTGAGCCGACCAGTTGCACCAGATGTTCAATAATTGGCAACTATCACCAGCCTTCTTTGAATCTGCAGCTTCCATTTTAGTTGAGAAATCACGTAATTCAATACAGAAGTTTTAGAGCTGTGGCAAATCTATAGCAGAAGCATATTTGCTGAAAACTACATTGTAGCAGAGATTGACAGTGTGTTGGATGGATTTCACAGAAATTTTCAACTTTTCATTTGTTAGGAATTGTCTTGTGATGCCCATCATAAGCCTGAGTGTTAATTGGACATCTAATTCAATGCAAAATAATTAATTCAACAAAAAACAAATGTGACTCACAAAAGGCAGCATATTAGACTCGCCTCATGGATTTTCTTTATATTGGTGAGAATAAACATGAAATCATTTTTTGTAAGTGGCTGATCTGATGAAAGCCCAAGAGCTTGTAAGGTAATCCATCCTCCAAGGTCCTTGCAGTTTTAATTTTTGCCAAAATGATGGAGAAGAATAGCTTTAGAATTGTTCCAAATAGTGTGTGACACCCCTAGAAGGCTGAACATGCCAAGACTATTCTCCAAGTAAAAACTGGGTTTCCTTTGGGATCTGAGACTATCAAGATTTAAAGAAGCTCCAAGATCACCATCCATTATCTGTAGCTTGGAAAATAATTGGGTGTCTGAAAGATTTGCTTGATTGATAATGTCTTGGAAGATCCAATAGCCTTGGAGGAATCATCAGCCACAACCATCAGTTAAAGCATAAAAAATCCACTTTTTTTTGCTTCTATCACATCAATTGGAGGTTGTTTGAGTGGGATGTTCTTTTTTTCTATGTACTGAATCATCACCCAGAAGATCTGGCTAAGGATGAATTTCTTGAAGTGTATCTCCTCTACATTGGTTGGAAGAATGAGTGTTAGAGTGACTTTCAGATTTTCAGATTCTTGGATTGCTTCTTGATATTTTTGGAAAGAGAAATATTCTGGGGAGAGTTTCAAAACAAAAATTTTTCAAGAGTGTGGATTCAAATTTCCCCTCATGAAATTGTCCAGAAATTTGGAACAGGAAAGAAGATCCCCCACCAAAATATCTCCTGCACTGGCTCAACTTTGAGCCCCCTGCCGTTGTGGTAATCCTGTTTTTCACCCACATCATAGCAGAAAATCCTCAAGGACTCAGAAAATCACTCAAAGGACCCCAGAATCAGGATCAGAAGCCCATATTATCCCAGGT